TGCATGCTCACTGTGGAGCCGATGTTGAGTCGTCAAAACGACCACATTCTTAGTGGAAATATCGGAGTGCCATCTTACGAGGAAAGATTGCTGGAAGAACGACTACCTCGGCATCAGTAAAGATTTGGAGGTGAGTACTGTGGAACGTATTGAGGCCTTGGTCCAACTCCCACCTTGGAAGCAAGCCGTGGTGTTTCCAGCGGGACAGCGCTTCAGCCCACGGAGCCAAGCTCGTTCAAGACAGGTGGAGCTGTGAGCTGGCCGAGTCGGTCGCCGCGAGGAATAACCTTATTGCTCCCCTAATCTTAATCATTGAACTCTCAGTCTAATCCGTGATTAAGAGCAAGGCATTCCGAGCTCAACCTTTGGATTCAATTGTCATTCTGTGTTCAGAAGTTTGAAAGGCATCGCAATAAATAGGCGCAAGTAATTTTGGGACACCGTGTACATCTTGGTCACTGCAGACGGCGCGGTAAATGCGTCCAGGGAACACTGGACGCCAAGCGCTTTATTTTTTAGCAAGTACAGGCGATGCTCTTGATGTCAGTATCGATGATAGACGAATTGTCGTAGCGTTTGCCAACTGGTCTTGCTTTCAAATGGCCAGAACAGGTGAGGTCGCACAGCTGCAGTTGAAAAAATTGGCGGATGTGGTGTTCATAATCATTTTGGTCGTAATATCCCTGAGCGATATGAGATACGTAGGGCATCTGCAATGACAATAGGTGATGTGGGTTCTTGTGGTTGTATTGCTATTCAATTATCAATGTGATCGTTGCACATCTCAAACATCAATCGTCATAAATAATCATCGTCACGTGACTTTCTATGATCCATTTCGGGCCGTTACCTCGGCACTCATTCAAAGCCGACGCTTTTGACTTCGAAATCACCGTACAGTCCAATCCAATTTCGCTTATGGACAGCGTCCAGTGTGGTAGTCTAAGAGGACGTTATTTACAGAGAAGACTTTTGCGCCAGGCACCAATTCAACTCCGGACCTGCGCATCTGCAAGTCAACGAGGTGTCCACAAAGAGGTTTTTGGACCATCCCCAATTTTCGGGCACAATTTCTGCTAACATTTTGCAGGCACACGATCAACGCGGGCAAAGACGGCAAGGAAGCAATATCTGTGCTTCGCCCTTCGCCACCTGATTTCGTTCATCCGTATTCCTTGGACAGGGCGGATAATATGAGCGCCTCCTCAACCACAACTCGCATCGGTTCTTCCTTCTCTCTCGCCAAGTCTTAAACATAGCGCTTCGAAAGCGCTGAATCCCTGAGTGAGCCTAAAGTTCGAGCCGCGAATTTTCCGTGTATGACACCTCCTTAGAAAATTCGCTATACGAAGTTATTACGGATTTATTTAGTGTAAATTAGCTAGATGTCTGAGTTCTAAAACAAACCCAAGCTGGGGCGCTAGCTCTTCTGCTTCCCCATCATATCTCTGTATGGCAAGCCATGTTTGAATGAGATGACCTATTATAACCGGTGCCAACTTAAAGCTAAAAAAAAAAAAAAATGGGGTAATTATCAGGTAATAAATGTTTTCTCGCTTTTGAATGAGCTTCGTTTTTTGAATTTCAGTGATGAGAAAATTATAGTCACACCTGAGTCAGTCTTTAATTGGTGGAGAGAACGGATCTTTTATTTTGACAAGCCTACAGTAGATTAAGTGACTGAGGTTAGTCCCAGGACCACATATGAGCAAGTCGCTTAGGAGAACTCTGGTCTTTGCTTGAAATTACATGAGACTAAACATACGAACCACCTCAAGCTTAGTTGATGCCTCCGGCCAAGGAGACTTCGAAGGAGTCTCCTTGGCATTTCATAGTAGTGCTGAAGAGGAAAAGGCATCCTCGAACAGGAGAGCTAAGCTAATTTCTAACTTTCCATCGTGAATTATAAAAAAAATTTGTTGAACGAAAGCAGTGCTGTTAGTGGCATGCGTGAAACAGATGGCTTGCGCATCCAAAAGGCGAACAGAAGAAGCAGCGGTGATTTAAAACATGAATTTGCAACAATTCATGATATATGACATCACCGCGCATTACAAACAGACCCAACAGACTAACCAGAAGTCGCGACCAAACTCCATTCTTCGTTTGGTACATAGTCGCTAGTGCCGATCATACCGTCTGAGCCTAGATTTCAGGTGAGAGCATAAGAAATGATAAATCGATAACGTACGTAAACCGTACGAGCAAAAAAAGCGCCTTGAAGGAGTGCTTTTTAGTTGTTAGGTAAAGCCATGCTTCGCTATGCTATAGTGATGTCAAGATTATGTTTTATCTCTTTACGGACAGCAGTGTGGTTATTGCACTAAAAATCTGTCCTCGCAAAGTGAGCTGGATGAAGATGTCAGGAAACAGAGCAGAAAATAGAAAGTTCGGAAAGAAAACATGGACCTGAGACGCATGCTTTTACATTAAGACGATACGGGATTCTGGCGAAATTTGTTTTTCCGCCAGATATGGCAAGCAGAAACGCAAGGGCCAATGTGCAGAAGTGGCGGGGCGTTTGATAAGCATTTAGCAATAGAGCCTAGGTGGGTCATTGGCGCCGTCCGTCCAACCCCCAAATTGAGCCGCCCACCGTCCTCCGTCCAACCCACCACCTGATACGCTAGATGTTAAGCCGTTGTTTGAAAAGTCGTAGGGGAATATTTAGCGGAATTCAATTGCGAAAATCAACATCAAAGCCTATGTTACGACCATTTCGAGAACGTTGTCATCATTTTCCAGTGAGAAGAAAAAATTTTAAGATAGGAAGCAAAAAGGAAAAACAGAAAAATAGAAAAATAGGAAACTAGAAAAAATCAGTTTTCATTGCTGACGCTTTGAGTGTTTGGTTGATGGCACAACGCCACAGCTTGCGTGACTGGGTTCAAACACGGTGTAGCGGCAATTTTCGCCATGCCCCTGGTTCGTAAGCGACTAACGAAGAGGAATTTCTAATTTTGTAAGTTCTTTGGAGTATTTTCCTTCTTCTTTTCATTACCCTTCGATCAACTTAGCACCCAGCTCTTCACACTCGAGACAGGTGAGCCTTTCGTTTTATCCCGGAGTTTGCCTTTAAGACGATACATTGAACAGTGCGGCAAGGCAGAGAAGCACTCACTACGAGCACCAATGTTGCTAACTTTGGAGATCGTAGATTAGGACTGTTGGGCTGCAACCCCAATGGACAACATCTCAGAGCCAATGGAGAAGAAACTGAGTTTGCATCGTCTTTCGTGTATTTGCCAACTCCTACGTATTCCTCAGGATCGTGAACAAGAAATCAATCGTAGAATCGGTACTGAGTGGAAAATCAGCTGAAGAGTCCGAACTCTACTAAGAAACCGAATGACGCTGCTCCGGACCAAACGACGATTCTTTCACATGGGTGTGATACCCACGCTACAGCATGAATGCGAAACGTGGGCCCAAATTAAAACAGCAGAAGATCGTATAAGAAAATGTCAACGACGGATGAAGCGCCAAATGTTAGGATCTCGATTTCGTAAAAGGGTATTGAACACAGCTACGCATGCAAGGATTTGATGTCTTGGCCCTAGACACTGGACTTGACTGATAGCTGTCAGGAAACGAGAAAACAAATGCAACTTGGCTAAAGATGTGACACAACACAGACTAATTTGGCCGTGCTCATGAAATAGATGATTGAATCACTCAGTCGACAGAACTATGAGAGACGGCAACATGCGTTCTGTCACCTCTTCCGCTTGGTACGCACGGGCTACATGGTCACGAGCAGACAGGGCCGTGCGACGTCGCGCCGCTTTGTAGTCCACAGATTCATGATGTATGCCGCGCTTCTTTTCGCACTTGGTATAACGTGGTGAACGCGTACAATTCCAAAAGGCGCGACATCGCATTCTGTATCGTTGCGCCATACCAGGGTTTCCTCGTGAGGCTACTACGTCAACTCACTGGAGATATGGGTTGTGCCAATTTACTTATATCAAGCACTATTTGAATCGCTTACTCAGTCCTATGCAGTGCCATCGATTCCTCAAATGAGCCTTTAGCTTCTCTAAGGACCATTAATTGGTATAATTTACAACATTTACAGTCCCAGGGGCCTGCAAGAGTACCACAAACATGTCAGTTCTTTTTTTGCTGTATCTCGTCTATAAAGGTAAATAATCAGTGCGTTAACCATGAATATGGCATCCATTTTTGACATAGGCGCCAAATTGGCGCCAATAATGAGCAAAGTATGCAAGAATGGCGCCAAGGGATGGCGTCGTGACCAGGTGAATGATCAACCCCTACCCAAAGGTTTACAACGAACCAGGTGAAAGTAGGTGTTACACACAAAGGCTAAAATTCAAGACGAGCAATAGCACTTGCCATTAAGAGGCATTGTCATGTCATGTCAATAATATACGACCATAAGAATCACTACCCCATAGACTATATTCGGCTGCTACTGTAGTTTGGAGGGGGGGGGGGGGACCACGCGCGGCGTCAACCCGCTCTGTTGGTCTCGCTTCTCTAAGGCTAGTCCATGAGCAGTTACTATTTCGCGCCACCCACGTGCAGTTTCGAAATACGTCTGCCAGCTACAGCCGTGGAGGAGCAGAGGCGCTGCCCGCCGCGGTCCCCCCCCCAACTAAGTTAGCGCCCATAATTCTAATATAGCCTCTAGAGATTTGGGGTTGCAATAATTGAGTAGCGTCAATTTAAGGTACCCGACAGGAGGCCCTGCTCGGGGAGAACGAGACGAGCAGACGCAGGCGGGTCAGCGGACGAGTCGCAGCGCGTATTGTGCGATGTGTACAATAACACATTCTATTTAACTTGACGCAAATCGCTACAGTACGCGCTGCGACTCGTCCGCTGACCCGTCTGCGTCTCTGCCTTCTCGCCCCGCGACGGGCCTCCTGTCGGGTGCCCGTGAAATTATCAATCGTGGAAGTTGTGCAGACTAAAAACAAATGCGTGCTGCAACAACACTGAAGCGTGCTAACATTCATGCATCTCCAATTACTGCTGAACAATAGTCGTAGTTGCGTACCAGACGTTCCCATGAGACTCCATCCTTCACTGGGTAGGAAGTTTGTTGTACCAACGGCGCTCTCCAGAGAGTGATAGTCGATGTCGTGATTATCAGAGGTCCAACTTCCAAATATCATATGACACTCTTGAGAGTCAAAAGGAAAGAACTGCAACGGCAATGCTGTAAGGCTAGAGGCAACTTTTACACTACTAAATTATACCTGTAAGTAGAGTCTACAGTGAAACTTGTAAATAGCTGGGTACAGAAACTCCACATATGATCGACGATTTTCGTACTGTGTGGTGACCTTTGCATATAACAGTCTCCGTTGATCATCGTCTTTCATCACCAATCTGCAGAAAATCAAGCTCAATCGATATATTGATCGCGGATTGCGATAACTTACGTGTTGTAGAGCGTGGTGTCCGGTATCCAAATTGTACTGTGATGCATCTTCACCTCTGTGATATTATCATATTTGGCAGGATCCCAAAAGATAAATTCGTCATACCAACGTTCAATCACCCAAGCTGATATGCTCACGTATTGTTGACGTTCATTCTGCAAAGGGAGGTTCTGAGGTGAAAACAAGATGGATGCGATGTATTGACGATGCGCAAAGAAGCCTCCCAGTGCTCTAGCAAAGTCACATCCGCGCCGCAACACGCCCACCTTCTCGCCGTCTGAATCTAGCCGTTTAGCAGAGAGAGAGAGAGCGTTAGCGTTGAAGAGGGCTGCACCATGAGAGTCGCATCAATGCGGAAATAAACGGGTAGAGAAAGAGTCCCATGCCTTTCGGTTCTGTGCCTTTTTTCATAGTATTTTCACTATCCCGTACCAGGCCACTTCTACCCCTGAACTCTGATGAGCCCTTTCCATCGTGTACTCCTCCTTCAGATAGTTTCCTGAACACATTCTGAGGGCAATACATACCTAAAAGGGCCTGAGATTATCGAGGATTAGGCTGGTCAAGGCAAGGTTGTTGCGGGGAGAAGGCAGCTGGGGATTGAGGAGGAGGAATTTTGAAGGTCAGTCCGCCGCGCCTAAGGTGAGGTTTGAACAATTGAATATAAATAGAATATCTTGGTGAATATATCTGCCGTGGAGGGAGGTAGGAAGGGTCGTAAAAGAGGTCAAAAGAGGGGAGGTTAAAGGTGAGGTGCATGCAAAAATACATTAAACATTTCAACATTCCTGATAATGTGAAGTTTAAGCTCTTTAACCGTTTTTTTGTGAATGATGGATGGTCCGTAAAGGAACTATGCTCGTTCAAAAAGTGATGAGGTTTGCTACTCCGAATTAGTACTTACAGTGAGTGAAGAGGGCCCGAGAGAATCCATACCTTTCTACAGTTCAAATGAAAGGTGGTGATCACGACGGTAGGAGGGCGGTGCGGTTTTGGTGTCGTCATCGAACGTGATTGGTGGAAGGGCGCAAAGAGGCGGTGCCGATCCCGCTCTCATTGCGCTATGAGAGGAATTGTTTACCAATAACGTTCAGTGACGTCATCGAAACCATGCCGCCCTCCAGCCATCGTGATCACTTCCTTTGAAGGACTGTTGTATTACATTGCGCAAAAAGTGGTAATTAGCAGAGCATGAGCGCAAAAATATCCATTCAGAGTGGACCGTAAAGTTGTTCGAACAAAGAACGAAGTAGGCGCTCGCGGCCTCAAGAAGGATAAAAACAGGGCTGTGGTAGGTGACACTAGAGCTAAGCCCAGAAGAATGGGGAAACGTCAGGGAAAACAAAAATTGCTCGCATCCACACCCAGGATCCTTGCCCCTCCTTAAGGCTTAGTCCCATCTACTGTGGTCTAGTGACTCAAGCACTTCAGTGACCCCGGACGTGCGAGCCGCAAAGTATTTCGTAATGAATTTTATTGACTTACAAGCTCTATAACTTGGTAGAGCTCCATTTTGAATCTGACGTCAACAGGGTCACCGACCCGACGCTTCGGCCGTACGATGTCCGGACCACGCATTCGAATCAAAGACGCCATCAGTCGTTGAGATATAGTAGGAGAGAAATCTTAAAAG